TTTATATAACAAGAAACAAAGGCCAGAAACATTGACAGACTGAGTTTCAAAAGTTCATTCTCATTCTATGCATGACATTTATTTGTTATAATAGATTGATACTGTCATCGAGTCAACTCAAGAGATCCCACGAACAACAAAACAACCTTACCCTGCCTATCCTGTCTCATCATGATCTCCAACATACTTGAGCTCTTTGTTAAAGTTACTGTGTCAATTCATCTCCTTGTCGGTCTTCCTTTGCTGAGTCTCTACCTTTCAACATGGTGTCTTTTTCCAAGGACTAGCCCCTCCTAAAAACATGCCCAAAATATGTGATATTAAGTTTTATCATCTTCACATCTAAGGAGCATCCTGGTTACACTTCCTCCAAGATAGATTTGCTTATTCTTTTGAAAGTCCATAGGATATTCAATATTCTTCTCCAACACTACAATGTGAAGGTATCAGTTCATCTTTGATCTTCCTTATGTATGATCCAACTTTCAGATTCATAAGAAGCAATTGAAAACTCCATGGCTTGGATCAGGCACAATGTTTTTACTGACACTGTTGCTCTTTGTAGTTTGGAGAGGTCCTTAAGACTACATACAAATGCTGCCCTGGATGTGATCACCAAGTTGTGCCAAGAAATCTGGAGAACAACCACTTGGCCAACTGACTGGAAGAAATCTTTATTTGTTCCTATCCCAAAGAAGAGCGACCCAACTGAGTGTGGAAACTATAGAACAATCTCATTGATTTCACATGCAAGCAAGATTCTACTGAAGATTATCCAAAAACGACTGGAACAGCACATCAGCAGAGAACTGCCAGAAATCCAGACTGGGTTTAGAAGGGGTCGTGGTACCTTTTCCACCTGCATGCAGAAGAGATTATCTGAGAGAGGCTGGGCTCTATGAGGAGAAGTGTGGCGTCAGGATTGGTGGAAGATCTACTAACAATCTGCGGAATGCAGATGACACAGCCCTGCTTGCTGAAACTGAGGAGGACCTGAAAAGCTTGTTGCAGAGGGTCAAGGACTGCAGCCTTCAGTATGGATTGAAGTTCAATATCAAGAAGACAAAGATTCTTACCACTGGACCAATTGGCAGCACCAGGATGAATGGTAAAGAGATTGAGATTGTTAATAACTTTAGTTTGCTTTTCTCCATGGTCAACACTCTTGGCACCAGTAGCCAGGAAACAAAAACACGTATTGTGATTGGAAAGTCTGCTGTTAGGGACCTCTCCAAAATACTGAAGAGCAACGGTGTCACTCTGAACAGGCCATGGTCTTTGCAATCACTTGTTATGCATCAGAGAGTTGAACAATGACTAGGGAGGACAGAAGGAGAATTGATGCCTTTCAGCTGTGGTGCTGGAGAAGAGTATTGAATGTGCCATGGACTGCCAAGAAAACAAACAGATTCATCCTGGAGAGGGTTAAACCAAACTGCTCCTTGGAGGCAAGGATTCTGGGGTTTCATCTGACATACTTTGGACATGTTGTAAGGAGGGACAGGTCCTTGGAGAGGGACATCATGCTTGGGAGGGTGGAAGGACGGCACAAGAGGGGAAGACCCTCTATGAGGTGGATTGATTCAGTGACTGAGGTAATCTGGATGGGTGTATCGAAGGCAGTGCTATTGGCACAGTTTAGAGCAGGGTTTAGGACTGTTGTACATAGGGTCCTATGAGTTGCAAGTGACTTGACGGCACTTAACAACAACAACAACCTATCTTTTTGTTTTTTAACTGTGGCCACCATGGGATTCAAGTAAAATGATTGTGGATTCAAGTAAAATGAAATAATTTACACCTTTAATCTTTTTCCATCTATTATGATGATGATTTATCCAGTGTTGAAGAATTTTCTTCACGTTGAGATGTAATCCATGTTGAAGGTTATAGTCTTTGCTCTTCTTCAGAATGTTTTCAAGTCATCTTCACTTTCTGCAATTCAGGTGTGTCATATGCATAACACAAATTCTTGATGAATCTTTCCCCAATACTGATGACATATCTTTCTTCATGTAGGTCTGGTTCTTTAAAGATTTGTTCAGCATACAGATTGTCAAGGTCTGGAGGGTATAGAGAAAGGATATAACCTTAACATACACTTTTTCTAATTTCAAGCCATGCAATGTTTCCTGGTCCTGTTTGGATAACTGCTTCTTGATCTATATGTGAGGTGTGCTGAGTACAATTAGGTGTTCAGGGATTCTCATTCTTCTCAATGTTACCTCTCATTTGTTAGATCTACACAATCAAATGCACCTGCATAATCAACAAAACACAAGTTAATATCTTTATAGTATCCTCTGCTTTGTGCCAACATCCATCTTGTATCAGTAATGTTCCACAGACTTGTGCCACAGCCTCTTCTGAAGCAAATTTGAATTGCCAGTGGTTCCTTGTCCACGTACTGTTTTAGGTGATTTTTAATAATCTTCAGAAAGATTTTACTTACATGTAATATTAATGTTGTTGTTGAGAATTTCCACATTCTATTTAGTCTCTTTTTTTGTTCTTTGAATGAAAAAAAAAAATGTAAAACCCTTTTAGTCAGCTTACCAGACTGCTGTTTTCCAAATTTCTTGACATGGGCCACTGGGCATATCTAGACGTGCTTCTGTTTGTTGAAATACACCAGAAGAGTACATTGTGGAAAATAATATAGTGAATAAGTTAGATTGATTTCGTTGTGATTTGATTGAACTTCCATTGATTGAGGATTTTTTTTTAATTTGACGCCTTAAATGCTGTAAATGCAAAACTGTGACATCCTAAAACTTTATCAAAGAAGATGTACTGGGTAGAAGTGAAAGACTGAATTATACTTCATTCAAGAGGTAAGAATTGCTGAGATTCTTTGCTAGAATCATTGCTGTTGAACAGATTTCAATGCTAGAAAGCAGAAACTACTGAATCTATTAAATAAGTAAGTAAAGGGGAAGTCTCATAACATTCTCCATTTAAAACTATGGGAAAATTAGAAAAAAGTCACAGCTTTTCACTAATTATATCATTATTTATTTATGATTATAAAGTTTACAGAATTATTACTATTATGTAAAGTGAAGGAAGGAATACATATACTATTATATCTATGCAGAATACCATGTTTACAGTGACTATTTCAAATAAGGTTTTACAGCCATGATAAGATTTGGGGTGAATAGACGTAGTTATTGAACAGTGAGAGCACCAAGACTTTGTGCATTAGATGTGGTTTTTATCTTAACTACGAGCACATGTTTCCTCATCGCGGTATTACATTATTTCTGTAGTTTTTCTGACGAAGCAATATTTAGATAAAATTTAACTGTATACTTTGACCTTTTATCACTTTCCAGATTTTCTTTTCCACTGTAACCAGACTGAGGTATTTCATAAGCTGGAGAGACACTTCTCTCTCCATTGTAGTTGAAAAGAAAGAGAGTCGGTGAAGAAAAGAGATTGGGTCCAGACAGAGTATTTAAGAAGCTACTATCTGTGATTCAAATTGACCAGAAGCCCTGCTGGAGAAGTAGGGGCAATCTCTTCCAATACCAGAATCAGATTTGATGGCATACACACAAAATAATAAAATTCTTTTAAAAATTAAAAATTTTTAAAAAAGAAGCTACTATCATAGGCGAGGCTCTATAAGGAGAAATATAACATTAAGATAGAGGAAGATTGGTCAACAATCAGCGTTACATAGATGACACAACCCTGCTTGCTGAAACTGAGGAGGACCTAAAGTACTTGCTGCAGAAGGTCAAGGACTTCAGTGTTCAATGAAGATTAAAGCTCAATATCAAGGAAACAAAGATTCTCACCACTGGGTCAACTGGTACCATATGATAGATGGTGAAGAGATTGAGATTGTTCACAGCTTTAGTTTGCTTGTATCCACAGTCAACACTCTTGGCACCAGCAGCCAGGAAATTAAAAGATGTATTGTGATGGGAAAGTGTGCTGTTAGAGACCTCTCCAAAGTACTTAAAGAGCCATGATGTCAGTCTGGAGATTAAGGTGCGCCTGACACAGGTCATGGTTTTGCAATCATTTGCTATGCATCAGAGAGCTGGACAATGGTTAGGAATGATAGAAGGAAAATGAATGTTTTTGAGCTGTGGTGAAGAAGAAATTATTGAATATACCATAGACTACCAGAAGAAAAAACAAGTTCAACCTGGAGAGGGTTAAACCAGTCTGCTCCTTGGAGGCAAGGGTTCTGAAGTTTCATCTGACATACTCTGAACATTTTGCAAGGAGGGACCAGTCCTTAGAGTCCTTAGATGCTTGGGAGAGTTCTGGAGGGACAGCACAGGAGAGGAAGACCCTCAATGAGACAGATTGATTCAGTGACTGGGGTAATGGGGATAGATGTGTGAGAGACAGTGAGATTGACACAGAATAGAGCAGGGCTTAGGGCTGTTGTCCATATGGTCACTTTAAGTTACAGGTGACTTGACGGCACATAATAATAGCAACAACAACAACAGCTATAATAGTCCCTAAGATCAATTATGAGGACGTGACCTAAGGCAGGCTATTTCAGATGTTTGAGTGATGAAACCAGGTAAAAAAACGGTATTAGAGTCAAATTTTGGTATACCATCCATTGTGTTATTGTTGCTGTTGTGTGCTGTCAAGACAACTAGGGCTCATAGAAACCTTATGAATATAATAGTCCTAACTTATCAATAAATTACCTACGGAGCAATGAGAAAAGAATCTCTTGGTGGCATGTGGAGTTAAATCAATTCCTAGCCCCAAAATTCACAATATGAATCCATGCAGTGGTGTCTCAGGGGACAGGTTGGACCAATTACTTTTGTAAAACTTAGAAAAGCCTTGATAACCCATTGGAACATACATGGCATTGCCATGAGTTGCATTCAATTTGACAGCAACGAAAAATAACAGCAACCAGAAATAAATGCTCTCCTGGTCGATCTTCTATTTTGTTATTGTAGCATTAAAAAAAAATGGATTTCACTGTCTTTTGCTTGGTTATAACTACTCACTCAGTTAAGAGCCAGAAGCCTTGAACGGTCTCTCCAGAAGTCTGTGTTATGTGGTCTTTCAGATCTTCCACGGCAGTCTCAATGGCCCCTGGCTGAGTGAAAAGAAAAGGACTAGTTTAGACAAGAGTAGGTTTTTTTCTATGATGATGACTAATTATATTCAGAAGCTTTACCACAATGTCTATCAGGAAAGATAGTTCTTATAGTTAACCTGGTTCTTATGAGCACTGTCTGCTAAAGATCTGCATTTTGAATTCTGGTATTGGCTACGCTGTTCTCGTTGAGTGATATGAAATTGATCCAAGTCCTGTATTCCATAATCTTACATACACTTCTTCATATAAATAAAAATGAACATTTTCAGACCACCAAGTTTTCTAAGTAAACATATTTATCAGTAAATTCAAAGCATTTAGTAAACCATGCATTTTAAAATCACACTCCTTACCTTTTCAGAGAGACCATGGCCATAAAGCACAAAAGAACAGTTTCTTTCCAATGCTCTGCTCAGGTCTTTTGACTTGTTCTTAGAGGTGGACATTTTCTCCTCATCTCACTTTCTTAATCCTCCACCAAGCAGGTGTTCCTAATTATGGGCTTAGCACTAGCTTAAAGAGGAATTGACTCTTGTACTACTAAGAAGTTCAGATACCCTCTAGCTCAATAATTTTTAAATTTCAGGACACATCAGAATCACCTTGTGTGCATGTGAATAAAATACAGATTATTGAGTCCAACACCAGTTTCATACTCAATAGCTTGTGGTGGGGCATAATTTGCATTTCTAACAAATCCCCATGTAATACTGTTTATATGGGGATTCCACTATTAGTGTTACTGCCCTTCAGGCAGTTATTTTCAAGGATGGGCAATCTCCTCCTGGGCAAATAACTGCCCCTGAAAACCCACTAGAGAGTCAGCTATTAGTTGGTTCTGACTCAATGGCACATTACAACAAATAGTGTTTGCACTATTCAGGTCTCCTGAGATCAACTGGTCACCACATAGACTTGTCTGTTGTTTGATTAGAGGCTGAGCCACACAGATGTATTTTGTTACATGGTTGAAGGGAGTCTAATCGCCTTATTCCTTAGACTAACCAGTCATAAAGTCAAAACATCAGCATTTGCCCAAAGAAGAGGGTAGAAATGAGTAGGCTAGAAGAACTTATGGAAATTAGAATCAAAGGGAGGAAGAAGGGTGAGTGCAGTCACATTGTGGGTATTATAATTAATGTTACAGAACAAAATATTATGAGTGATTGAATGGAATACAATTTGCTTGATAATCTTTCATTCAAATAACAAGTTTTTAAAAACCAAACAAACCAAAAACACCTCGTAGGAGCTTTTAATAAGTCCACACTTCCTACTCAACTAAGAAATGGCAGAGGTGAAACAAGACAGGAGGCCCTTGTTTTACCTGCAAAAAAAAAAAAAGACAGGAGGCCCTTTATTTCATAGTACTGCCCTCATTTCTAATCTTCAGATATATTGATAATATACAGGTTGCAAGGTCTCATATATTCTCTGGATAGCATAGCTCTATTACAAACACCTACCCATCTCTGAGTGCCACAATTACAATCATCTCAGGCAAAGACCTTTCTCTCACAAGAAGATTCAGGAACACAAGCCTGACTAGGATTTTAATTTAAATTCCTCATTTTCTCAGAGATGAAGCATTTATAGACTTATGTTTGCTTCTTTTCTCAACCTGCATCAAAGGGCATTTGGCTTACCAATATTTTTAACTTGGAATCCATTTGTAAAACTAAATTTAGGTGAGAATCAAAGCAGAGAATAAGCACATTATCCACATTCAATGGAAGTAAGGAGTATTGAGCGTCACCCACCTTGCTTGCTTTATTCTCTCCACTCAGCCCACAGAACGAACGTAATGAACATGGGATTGAGTGATCTGGATTCAAATTGAAATTCTGTTTATGGATTAATTGTATAGAACTATCTCTACAAATAGTTTGCACTCCACAACTGATTCAAGGTCAGTGGTTCAAACTCACCAAGAGGCTCTGTGAAAACAACAAACAGAAAATGCTATGTAGTGGGTCTCCTCTAATGAACAGGGATGCAGGCAGGTGGAATAAATGCAGAATCATTGGGTTTGGCTTTGATATTATTATAGCCACCTATTTGATTTTCCTGAGCCTTCCCTGGTCGCTCTGGTGTCACAGTAGTTTAACATCCAATTAATAACCGAAAGGTCAGCAGTTAAAACCAACCATTCTGCAGGGGGAAAGATGAGGCAATGACTTTCTATAAAGACCTACAGTCTTCTCAGCCCTCTAGGGCAGTTCTATTCTGTTCTACTGGCTCACTAGGAGTTGAATTTTACTTAAGAGCAGTGGATGGGAGTCTTAATTTTTTTAATCAAGAAAATAATTGATGAGACATAACCAATTCTTTGTGAAGCTATAACTGATGATCAAAAATACCTTGGCAATCTTTAAGGGAATATGCTATTTCTTACATGGAGATATTTTGATCCTATCATTTCAATATATTCTCTCTTGAGTTGATGGTCAGCCGGGTTTGAGAATCAATGGCTTGAGTAGTCTCTAACTTTGCCATCCTCTGCTGCTGGTTACACAGTTTTCAGAAAATTGGCATGACATCCTGTTCTTGCTGGAACTTCAGTTTCAAGAAATAAATTCTGGAACATTAATCTAATACACCTAGAACTCTCCAACAAAAGGTTGTGTCAGCACCTCTGCTGTCCAATTTCCTGCTGGTGAGAAAACTTCTGTCATTCTGTGAAGGTCCTTCTCCACCCAATCTCAGTTCCCCAACAATTCAGCCTGATTTCACCAGGCTTTCAGGTCCAAGACCTTTAAAAACAAAAGTTTTGTTCTATTGTGATGACTCTACGGGGATATTTTCTCTCTTCCTATATTCACTTAATATCTGCCTTAGTTAATAGAACTCCTCAGTGAGAATAATACTTCTCAGGAGAAATAAGTATAAGTGAAGAGGGAGAGAATAATGACATAAGCCTAAAATAAGCACTCACTGAATGTTTTCATGCCACACACTGTGCCAGAAAAAAGTGAAGGTAAAGATAAATATAATAACATAGATGTTTTCAAAGCTTTACTTATCTTCTTTACTGAGAGCAAGAAGGAAAAAAAAGAGAGAAATGAAGATGTGAACTATCCTTTGATCCAAAAATTGTACATTGAGAAGTTACACTGTAGATACACTTGCATATGTGCAAAATAACATGTATATCATGTTTTCCCATTAAATCAAATGCCTCTTAATAAGATTTTATTGTTCTTGTTGTGGGCCATTGAGTCAGAAAGGACTCCAACAGTTTTTCAGAGGCAATAAATCACAGGGGAAAAGATTGCCTATCTTGCTCCTTTGGGGCAGCTGGTGGATTTGATCCATGTACCTTCGCACTGGTGGCACAGTTCCTTACCACTCAGACACATTATGAGGTAAATCACCCATGAAGACTCAAGCCACGCAATAGTAAAGCTCTCAACTGCTAATCAACAGAACAGCAGTTCGAATCCACCAGACACTTGGAGGAGAAAGATGTGGTAATCTGTTTCCATAAAGATTTACTGGATCAGAAACACACATGGTACAGTTGCAGAATGCTCAATATGGAAGAAAAAAACAGACAAAAAATACAAAACAGCAGCAACAACACACAAACATAAGCGTGAAGATAATTCTAGGAGGCGAATGTTAAAGCAGTGTGAATGTGCCCACATTTCTCTGACTTATACTAAACAGAAAGCCATAAAGAATACCAGTGAGAGAAGATCATTTCCCCATGCACTGGCCTTCTTCTAACAACATCAAGACAATGTTGTTATGATGTGTCACTCAGTCAGAACCAGATCAAAGCTGAACCTCCAGCAAATTTTCAGAGGCTTCCCAACAAAACAAGAGGAGCTGAACTACCTGCCTTTGGGTGGACAGTACAACTCCTAACATACCAAGACCACCAGAGTTCTCTAGACAAGATGGTAATGAGGGGAGGGTGGTGCCCCTGAACACTCAGATACAATAGGATTCCACTGTGGGGATCATCAGGGCCAGATAAGAATTGCTTTGTTGGAGACATATAAAGCGAGAAAAACAGTTCTAATCAGATATGAAATGTGAAGTTCAAGCATGCTTTCCTTTTCCTTAGAAAGAAGAACACGTATCTTATCTCATTACCATTAAGTGTCTGCTTTCAGAAAGAAAAATCACCTTTATTACAGTCTTCAAGGGATTTCAGTGGAAGGGAGAGTCAAGAAGATTTTTTTGCCCAGTGAGACATCTAATTTCTAGACCAAAAGGAAGTTCACACAGGCAATAACAATTCAACCAATATATTTAGTTGCTCCCAGAGCAAAAGCAAGACACAGGGAACCCTGTAGCAAGAGATGAGGGAGAGGGAGAGCGTGTGAAAGCCAAATTAGTGTCATGGAAGCGGCGACATCTTGCTACACAATGGGAAGTCCCAAACCTGCTTATTAAAGTCTTGTTGCTCACAATAGAACACAGGCTATAAAAAGGCCACGGAGAACCATTAATTAAATATTAAAAGATCAAATAGTTTTAGTCCCATTAGTTTGTATGTAATTTAAATTCTCGAGTATAAATTTAGAGATAATTCCCCATCCCTGATTGCTTTCAACTTTCTGATAAGGTATCTGCAAATATAGAGCCCACAGGGCATTTAAAAATATCTTTTCCCATGTGGGTTAAGTATTGTTCCTTTCATAAAACATTGCTTTTGAATATCAGTCTCCACAACTCCAGTGATTATCATAATATACCTCGAGTTATTAGCTTTGAGGGGTACTTTTGTTCCGAGAAGGCGCTAGGTCTTTTTTAGACATGTCTAAGCAATAATAGGAGATTAGCTAAAAATGGAAGAAAAATCTACACAAACAGACTGATGGGAAGGGGTTGGGATCTTCCTTAGGGCGACCTCCCATTCATTCCCCAAAGTCAGAAGAAGGGTAAAAGGTGTAAGGAAGACTGGGATCCTGTTTCAGCAGGACCTTTAGATAAGTTTTCCCCACCTTTGCAGGGTTCAGGAATGGGTGAGATCATTCATTAAGGTC